ATAAATAGAAATTGCCCTGTAAGATCTGTGATCTGTAAATTTGTAAATTTCTTTCCCTAGTTTGAAGGACACCTGCTAAGTGAAAGACACAGCACCGTTGATAATTATTTAATTTGTGTGTTATTTTATTACACGGATCTTAGCTTTAACATCTTTCAAATAATGGATCTCCGCGAAGTAACGCCTGATAATATTTTTGCAATTTGTTCCGCGCCGGATTCGAACCCGCGGCCCGAATCTCCGTTAGCGAGCACTTAGCAAATATTTCTACTGTGTTTCATAATCGTGAGTAAAAAAAGCTGGATACTCAGAGATGATGACAATGCAACTGCACTAAAATTGATCCAGGTGGAATATTTTACCTGCGGTAATTTGGGGTAATTTTTCTTTGAAACCGGAAACCCGCCCTTGAAAAATCGATTTCGGTGAGAATAGAGAGACAAAAAACAATATTTTTTTGTATAAATTTACTCCAAATTAATATAATATGAACTAAGTTACAAATGTTATGTAAAGGGAATTTCAATATAATAATGTTTTTCTTTATAGAATAAGAGTGAACAATGAACACACAGCACACCTGATGGTAAATGGATGCTGTGGCCCATAGATATTAGCATGTAATGCAGAACTAATTGTAAATGCATCACTGTGGAATGCCTCGTCTTTGGTTAAATTTGTCTCCAGTTCTCCCCACTCACCATACAAAACACAGCAGCATTGAGCTGGTATTTTAGCTGGTATTCTGTTAGAGCCTGATCCTTCCTCGGTGGAGTTGACTCATACAACAGTGCTACCCATATGGAGCTGCAGCGTGGTTCTATATTTTAGTCAATTTTGCAACGTATTTAATTTACAACATGCAATTTGTTGGACAACAATTTGTTTAAACTTTAATAATTACACGAAATGAGGCTACTGAGTTAAGCCCGGCACTAAATTGGGTGTGTCGAGGAATTTTAGTTAGTGATTTATCACACGTAGTTTAATGATAAAATATACTTACTGTCTCGTAGCCTTATGGATAAGGTAGCTTGCTACTGCACTGCGGGTCGTAGGTTCAATCGCAGTCAACCTATCATATGGTGAAAATCATAAAAGATAAAGTTACATTGGTACAGATATTAACCGCTCTGCATCAGAAAGCCTGTAAAACTGTTGGTCCTGCATATAGTCTCTCTCCGTGTAGTCGGCTCATCGGACTATGTGAGTCAGGAAATACAGAGTGCAGCTGTGCTCGCACAAACACTCGTATATTTATTATTATAGAATAAGGGAGACATACGAGCACACAGTCCACCCGATGGTAATTGGATGCTGCGACCCATAGACATCTACATTTATCTTCAATTAAGAATCAAAATGCAGATGCGTTGACAGCCCTAAGGACATAGATGGAATGACTTTTTACCATTAAAGAGAGTCTCCGGTTCTATACTCTCACCATACGAAACACAGCAACATTAAGCTGCTATTTTACGCTGGTATTCTGTTTCTGTGAGAGCGTGGTCATTCCCCGGTTAAGCCGACCGATTCGTGCTGCAACCACAGTGTAGCTGCAGCATGGCTCGCAGCGCAGCAGCACAAATGTACACAAAAATATTACAGCAATGAGTTGCAGCGCTAAGGGACGTGGGTTCGAATCCCGCGCGGAGCAAGTATTTGCATGGCCTACAAATAATTGTTCCGGGTCTGGGTGTGTTTCCTTGTAAAATATATGTATGTAAACTAGCTTCAGGATACAGGAGAAAATCATATTGTGGTGTAAAGTTTAAAAAAAAGAAAGACTGAATATAACAGAAGAAGGAAGAAGAAAGTTTATTGTTCTCCAAGCCAGTGCTTGGCTCCTTTTCCACTTGATGACAAGTGATGAGATGATGAGAAATGATATGAAGATGACGCTATTGTTTCTTTAACTCATATATCATTAGTACAATATTAGTTCCTAGTGGAATGCTTGGTCTCGCAAGCGAATAGCTGCTGTGTACAAACACGAAAAGCTAACGAATAAAGTCTTTACTGACAATGTACAGTTCACAGCACTTATCGTTTCACATTTAGCTGAAAGCCTCTTCCGTGACAGACGAGGAACGTATAACGATAAGTAAACTCCCTTGTTCTCATTTTGTAGTCTTAGACTTAGAACAACACAGAAACATAGACAGAGCACTACGTACATTTGTTGTGACGTCACAACCAAGCTCAGGTTATCGTAAAGACATGCACTCACATACAAACATTTTTTTATAAACTGACAGACTTCTTATACATATAACCATGCAGCAATTATATTATGGCTGTATCGCAAATAGTTCGGCTCGAATGGGGAAGGAAATAACTTTCACAGAATACTAGCGTAAACTAGCAGTTTAATGCTGATGTGTATCGTATGCCCAGCATGGAGATGCGGAGACAAAATGCAAAAACAAATGAATGCAAAAACAAACATATAGAAAAATATCAAAAATTAACGAACAAGTCAAATGTCAAACATCTGAATCAATGCCAGAACCGAAAGCAACCATTGACAAACACAGATCACAGATTAATCGCGCACTATAATCTGTCAATTATAAAACACTGGATGATGCAACAATTAGGGTTTTATCCAAAGGCCTCAACTTTGCAATTACACCCCGCAAATTACCGTACGAAGAAATTATCTGTAGTGTCGAGGACTGTTTATTTAAAAACAACATGCGGAAAGAAGATTTGGAGGCGATACGTCAAGACATCTCCTCTATGTTACGTCGATGTTCAGTGCCTAAACCGAATCTTCCCAAAGACGAATTTATAGCGTTAAAGAACCTACGCAATAGACACGAACTTACGATTCTCCGCGCAGATAAGGGAAACGCCACGGTAGTCATGGATACGTCAGATTATAATTCTAAAATACAAGAACTTTTGTCGGATGTAAGTACTTATAAAAAAGGTTAAAAACGACCCAACAAATAGCACACTAAAAACAACTAGTGACCTCATTAAGAAACACTCCGAAAAATTAAATCTGGACGTAAAATGGATAATACCTACGTAGGCCAAATCACCTAAATTGTATGGGTTACCAAAAATACACAAGCCCATTGCTCCATTACGTCCCATAGTGAGCCAAATCGATTCACCAACTTACAGATTGGCTCAACACTTAGCGAAAATACTCTCACCACTCAGGGGACATACAAGAGCACACATAAAGGATTCCTACCATTTTGTCAGCGAGATTAAAGACCTACATCTGGCAGACAATGAAACTATGGTCAGTTTTGATGTGCAGTCATTGTTTACATGCTTACCTGTTGAAGACTGCATCTCAATTGTAACTAGAAGGCTGGAAGAAAACAACATGCCCGTAGAATATGCAGTATTACTCAGACACTGCCTTACATCTGGCTACCTATTGTGGAAGGAGGAGTTCTACAAGCAAGTAGATGGTGTGGCGATGGGCTCACCTGTATCTCCCATTGTCGCCGACATATTCATGGATGAATTTGAGGAGAAAGCCCTACTTAGTTCTCCCATAAATCCAAGGTTCTACAAGCGGTACGTAGACGACACTTTCACAATTCTACCTTTAGATAAAGTAACTGCATTTTTAGACCATCTTAACTCTATAAATTCTAAAATTCAGTTCACAATGGAGTTAGAGGCAAACAATTCCTTAGCTTTTCTAGATGTGTTAGTAATTCGGAATCCTGATAACACCTTGAGCCATACTGTGTATAGAAAAAAGGCCCATACAGATAGATATTTAAACGGTGATTCTCACCACCATCCTTCGCAGTTAGCTACCGTGGGTAAATCTTTGTTTCAGAGAGCACGAGGGATCTGTGACAGTAAACACCTGGCTGCAGAGCTCCACCATGTCAAGCAAGTTTTGCATGACAACAAGCTTCGAGTCCCGCGCCTACGTCACAGTGAACGAGTGAAGCCGGCCACAGTCGAGCGTGTACCTGCTGTACTGCCATATGTTAGAGGAGTCACTAACAAGATTGGCTACATCTTGAAGCACGCTTCCATCAAAACCTACTTCAAGCCGCTGAAGAAGATTGGTCAGTTTCTACCATCGGTCAAGTGTAATGTCCCTCTGCAAGATGCAGGAGTGTACAAGCTTGATTGTGAATGTGGTCTCTCCTACATAGGACAAACTAAAAGATCAATAAAAACCCGCGTTAAAGAACATATAGCTGATGTGAAGAATCGACGCTCCGGGAAGTCTGCAGTCTGTGAACACGTACAGGATCGCCCCCGTCACTACATCAGATTTGATAGACCGCAGATCCTCGCTAAAGAACACCGACTCCTTCCAAGGATGATTCGCGAGGCTATTGAAATCAAAAAACATCCTAATTTCAATAGAGAAGATGGCTGGGTGCTACCATCTGCTTGGGATCCTATAATAAATAAAATTAAATCCCAACCCAAGCATACAACTGCAAGACTTCAAGATACCATAAGTTCATACTGCATAGATCGGAACAAAAGTTAAATTTTAATCTATGGTAACCGCGGTTAACTATGACATATGGACGTTGAACATCTCAGTCCTGCCCGTGACCATGAGTGCTGTAAAGCGTTCGAAACGTCGGGTATTTAAAAAGTTAAATATACGCGATAAATTCCGTAAAAACTAGTATATAATAAATAGATGTAGATATGTATGATGTATGCTGTGTGTGCTCATTCGGCACTCTTAGACTTTAAACTCACTGCTGAAGATGAGCTTCTCTCATTGCATCTGCCACATTCGTCACGCTTGGCAAGATGATGCATCGTCCAGACGTGAGCACTTTAACGCTGCTGTCTGTCGCCAGTTTGAGTATTTGTCATCTGACGTAAATGATATGTTCATACCGCCATCTATTGGACTCGATAAGATTTTATAGCGATTTCCAAAGTCGACTTATAAGACACCTACAGAATGTTATGTGAGATATTTATTTTTTATTTTACAGTAACTAAAATATCGTAGAAGTTATAATGTTTTGTTGTATTCAAAG